ATGGAAGCTGTTATTCTGCACATCTGGGCAGAACATGTGGGAAATAATCCTCCCTCCAAACAGCGGTGGACTTTGAGATTTATCTGCAAAATGGTTGTAAACCCCTGGAAATCCTGAATTAAGAGGCACTGAAGGAAACCACCGCTAGAGATCATCATTTGACGGATACCAGAAAAACTAAGTCGCCTTCTGTAGGGGCTTATTTCCCACCGCTGACAACAGAGCAGGCTGGGGGACGACATCCTAACTGTAGGTCTCAGTTAATTGCGTAGACTTAACTAAAGCTTACTCCAGGGTCCTGGTCCCAGTACCTGATGAAGATTTCTCTGTGGGAATATGGAATGAGAACTGGAAATGAAAGCGAAAATTCCCTGCCAGCATTTCTCCTTCCATGTCAGATTTTCTGGCACGTGGATAAACATAACTGCCAGCCAGAATCTGGCCTTATGCGCTTGACCTGTAAAGTATGGCACTGCTTTCATTTGTAATAAAATACATCTGCTGTCCTTCAGCAGTCTGGAAAAGCACACCTTTTAAGAGATTTTTTCCCCCATGTAATTTGAGTTCACTGAGCCATTTTTGCTGCTAGTGAAAACAGGCACAGCTCCAGCACGGCTGATGGAGTTTTGCCCACTTGAATTCAGAATGGGACTTGGTATCTTTCAAACGTAAATAAAACCAAAGCATGTCATGGATTGAAACATGTCAATTAAAATAAAAATCGAACTAAAAATAGTATCCAAGTGAATAATAAATGTATTTATCTCATCTTTCCAGAAATTACCAGATTTTGCTCCTAAAATGTACCCTGCAGCAGCACCACGGATATCTTCCTTCCTACGAAGAGAAGTGAATTTTGAAAAGTTATTTAAATTTTGGATTAAACCAGAGTAACAAATACCAGGCAAAAAAAAGTACATAGACGATACTTTACCATGGGCAAAATTGCACAGCATCAATAACAAAATATAGTCTGTGGTGCTTTACATTAACGATGTGCATTTATCTACATCTTCACTTGCACTGTTAAAACATGCATTATTGTGCTAAGTAGCTACATAAAATTAGTCAAAAATTCATTTTTCCTTCCTTCAAACTGTGTATTTATTTAAATTCTAAAAAATAATTCATCTTATGTTTTTCTATGAGAAAAACAAAACCTGAAAGCACACCTGCAATAAAGTCCTGTATGATCCTCCCGGGTGCTAGACATAGTCTTGCTTCGTCTGCATCCGTAACATGGCTGCTTTCAGCATAGCTGCTATTGTGAATTATAAAACATACCTCCATCAGGTTATAATACAGGCTATAATTACGATAAAGGCTACAGATAACAAGCTTTTCTCATAACACTGCTTGTTGCGTTGTGTTTTCATTCCAGCTAAAGATAGACTATATTATTCTATCTATATGTTTGATAAAACTAATTAAAAAAATGGGCTCCGAAACCAGTCCTGAGAAGGTATGGGATGGACACAGCTTCACAGTAACCTTGGATTCTGGCAAATAAAGAATATTCGTTTCCATATTCTCTTCTGCCACTCCATATCTTTAACGGGGATGGGAGAAGCAGGTCCATCGGGCTTTCTTCCGCTGCAGCAGTTGACGATGCTCAGCAGCTTCTGTTGCTTCTGTTAACATCAACGCTGAAACAGCAGTTGACTTTAATATCTAGGGCTAGGGTTCTGAGGTTAGAGGAGACCCGTTCTTCTCTCCTGCTAACGCATTTCTCAGGGCTGGGAAGGACAGAAAAATGACCAGAGTCTGGACTTCGGCTTTAAACTCTGACTTCCACATTTCCTGAGGAAGAACCTTGTGCAATTAACTCATTTCAATACTTTGGTTTGAACTATAAATACATCCCAGGGGAAATCAAAGGCTAAGGCAAGGCAGCATAAATGCCACAGAGCACTTTTTTCTACAGTTAATTGCAAACCCTTTGGTTACTGATGCCCTTCTGAATATTTTTCCTCTCACCCCCACTTAACTTATTCTCTGCACCACTACCAAGGAAGACTTCAGAGTGCTGTCCACTCTGGACTCCTCCAGAATGTAATGGAGTCATCTGGCCTCTTCCAAAGGACTCCCAATTTGATTTTGAACGCTGGGAAGGGGATTAGTGAGACACACATGGAATTAGGGCAATGCACAGTGAAAGCAAAGCAGCCTTTCTGATCATCCTCTTGGGACACAAGGACTAGTTTCAGTATTACTTATACTCCCTGCACCACCAAGGTCAATGGGAATTTTTGGTCAGGCAAGGATGTTCACTTAGGTCTTAGATGTGTCCGAGTCTGATTTTATTTAATTATTTACTACATACAGAACAGGAATTGTCTTTGCCTGTCACTTTAATCAGGAGAGAGAGGTTCTTGCTTTGGCGACCCAGATTACATTTCCCACAGGAGCAGGTTCTTATCAATCCTGCCAGTTACCAAACTACAGCGCACTCTCTTTTCTTTCATCTGTCGGAAAATAGCCATCCTACCACAATGCTATCACAGAAAAGTCTACCTCAGAATGAAGACTGCCTGCAAAAAAACAACATAAAAGAGTCAAAGTTGGGCATTCAAGATGCAAAACAAAGAGCAGGAATAAGATTTTCAAAGGCAGATGAGAGAGATGAATACTGAGCTTTTGAGACAGTCTGAGAGAAGCAGAGAGCCCATCTTCCTACAACTCCAAGATCAAAGTGTATAAAAAGCTGGGAAACACCTCAAAAACAGGGGTATTCACTCTGCCCAGATGCTTAGGCTCATTCAATCTATCAGACTGAGGAGCCTTGTCAGCCAACTATTTGTTTTGTGTTTTTATTTTGGACCTTGCGGTTTGATCTCAAATTTCAACATATGTACTACATTAAACCCACATGCTGGCATCTGACACTACATTAGACATTACGTACATAGATTGATTGAGCCGGGCCCTTCAGTGAAGTTCCACTGATCCTAAAAGTCATTGCAAGGGAGCGGAAAAGGTTAAAAAAAATCTTAAGATGCACAAAGGTTTTGTAATTCCCTTTCCGTTATGCACGCTGCTGTATTTAGACCGTTTGACACAGCATACAATGACGCACACAGCGGCAGTTACATCCTCCTCCTCCAAAAGGTGCTCCATGCCATGAAGGTGCAGTCCTTACATAGGTACAGTTTATTAAGGGTCCAGCATACCTTTTTTTGCAAGCTTCCTTCTCTGTATAGGCCAAAACAGGCACCATTTGAAATCTAAGCCACATCATCATGCAGTTTCTATTACTGTAAATGCAACTAATTAATAAGCTAAATTACTTGAATTAAGAGCTTCAAGGTGAATCCCTTGTGAACTCGGATCTTCTCAGTGTTCTGAGGGATTCTTTCAAGCCTACTGATATTTTCATTATAAATGCCAGCTCACAGATGATTTTGAAAAAAGCCCAACAACTAAAGATGCTGGATTTTTAAAAAGCACAAGCAAAGAAACCCAACAAAACCCAAACATCTTTGATCTCTTCAAAGGCCTGATCAGATCTCAAGGGCCTTGATTTACAAACACAAGTATGTTTGCATTTGATGTATTATTACCTAGAGATCACAAGATCCTTCATATTCTCTTAGAGGGCTGACAAAGATTTTTAAAAAATGCACATTATGCATCAGAGTTTGAGAGATGTGTCTCAAAGACGCAAAAGGTTTTGGTTTACATTAGTTATTTCATAGCAAGTTTCACCGAGAGGCTCTGCTTTATAACTCATCCCACCCCTATGTGTTGAGTGACATCAGGAACTGGATAAAGTGATTTAACTAGCACATTGGCGTGCGTTACAAAGCTTACCATTGCATAAATACAGTTTGTTGCTAGATTTTGGATTTTGTGATCGCAAGCCCAGAATGGCAGGTGTGCCAAACCATACTCAGTCACAGTGCAAGTAAAGCGGTTTCCTTGCTAGAAGGAAATGTCTGCAGAACAGGTAACAGTCTAATTCACATATCATTTTACAATGGTGACACAGTGATTAATCTCCAGCTGAAATACTTACTGAGAAGTAATAGAAAAGGAAGAAAATGGGTTTGAAAGCTAAGTAAGGACACTTCTGTATCAAAAATTGCATTTAAATCTCCAAACGAAGATGAAGAAAGCTTACATTCCTTTTCAGGAATGTTGCAGTCATCTCAGCTTGCTAAGGTTGCAGATGCTTCATTTCCAAGAAAATAAAGGCTGAGTCCATTTACTAAAAACACAAATGGAACATAAAATAACAACATACTGACAGAAAGACAAGTGGATTTCAAAGTAGTAAGGATTTATTTATGTAAAAAATGCTTTTCTCTTAAAATTAGTCTTACAATCTTATCAACCATTTCACCTAGATTTTGCTCCTAACATACTCCACCTATGCAGTACAAACATACATATGCAATAATATTAGCATCTTCATTCATGTATCATGTTGATATATTTCCTACGTGTGATAATATATACAAAACAATCCAGAGTCCTGAACACCTCCATCTGCTGACAAGATTTTCAAACCAAAGAAATATTTTTTCAGCCACTGTGTTCAAGCTTTGCAGGAGCAAAATTTGAGCCTGAAGGTCCAAAACTTGGGCTTCAACTACAGAGACCAAAGTCCAGCAAAGACAATTTGACTCTTACTTACTGGCAAGGTGGATCAGTCTCTTGGAGCAAAGTTTTACCAGCACACGCCTTGACCAATTTTTCTTGCAGAAGTAAATCCAGTGGTACATGACTACAGTTACTCATACAGCCAGAGTCTTAGAAAGAGGACACATACATCCTAACAATACAGTTGACTAGTATTTTAAAGAGAAATTAATTTCAAATTCTGCATTAGAAAAAATAAAAGTGACCTTTACTTCCTCTGCTAACAAAGTATGGTTTAAGCCTTAAGATATTTATTTGAAAGAGTCCGTAGTGTGTAAATGTTTTCATTTCCCAGCCTAATCCTTAGAGCAAAATACTCCTACCTAAATCATATTTGTCTCTTCAGCTAAGTAGATCAGTCATGACGTAAACTGCATCCTGCAGCTCTTTTTCATGCATGCTGGGTTTGAGATTTGTAAGTTCGGAGTACTAAATTCAGAGCTATTTCTATGGGTAGTGTTGCGCAAACTAAACAAAGCTAAAGAGTGCAAGAGCACTTCTCTGGCTTTTGATCTTTCTATATTCTGCTCCTGCGATATCTGAAAGCTTATCTGATTCAGGTTATTCCTTATCAAACTGCAAGTGAGGAGGTTTGTTACAGAACCACACCTGGTCAAGTTTTCTTCAAAAAACTGTTTATAGAACTCTGCCACTTTTGTTTCCATGTACTTGTTGAGCATGGAGTTTGAAAGAGGCTCCTCACACAGCAAGATACTCCTTTCTCCAGCTTCGTCTCCAGACGAGGACTTTACACTTGGCTTTTTGGGATGCTCACACAGAGGGGACTGACCTAGAGGAATATCTACGGACAGTAAAACAGGGCCATCGGGAAGTTCGTCACACACATGGTCCAAAACACAACCTGAATCACACGTGTGGTCCCTCACACGGTCTCCCCCAATATGCAAGTCAGGATAGTTTTGATAAATGCTGTTGCATGACCAGGATCGATACAAATCCACCTGTTCAGTATTTTGTTCTCTTTTGGGGATATGTAAAGCTGGCGATACAGTTCTTTTAACAAGTGTTTTCTGATCTTTTGCTGGTACCTCTTTTAGGGATCTCCATTGAAGACTGCTCCTGTATTCCATTTTGCTACTTCTAGCAGAGATCTCATCCTGCTTCTCATGGCCATCAGTAAAGCCTTTCATTTTTGGGTTGCCTACAAGTTTCTGTCTCCAGATTCCCTCTTTATCCTTTATGGATGCATGAGATTTGCGAGGCTTATCTTGATGACAGCTTTCTTTATATATGAGTCTAGTTAAGATGCCTTCTGCCAACATGATGACAAGTGTGAGTAACAGTCTAATCACCAGAGCTCCATGTAGTCCTGTGAGTGAAAGGAAGACAGACAGAATACCTCAAACTTATTTGGACAAGGAGGAATTATAATAAAAAAAATGAACAACGCACTTCGAAGACTGTGACTTTTCTTTCTCTCTAGAGTATTTACTTTTAGTAAACAGTAAACTGCATGCTTTTCTACAATTTTAACTTCTATACCATGTCAACAAAAACCATTCTGAAGATACAGGGAGGGCATTAACTGGGTTCTTCACCCATAATATCACTTCTGTTCCTAGGTACCTCTTCTGCACTGTGGCTAGTTGAGATAGATCATATTCATGAGCTGTAAAAATCAACAAAATTATTTTACTTGTCTATATCACTACCATCAGCTGCAAATCAACTTCTTCCACTGAAAGACAACAATTTCTAAGAACTAAAGAGGTGACATCGGAAGAAAAATCAAGATCAAAGTCAGACTTAGAGGTTGATTCTGAATTGGCCTGAGCCCTCCTGTGAGGTGCCAAGGAGCTTCAAAAGATGCTGATACTTCAAGTATAATGAAACTGCATCCAAAATGCATTCCACATACACAAATGTTTTTAGAGTCCCCCTTAATGATGACTTTAAAGGATATAAATAGTTAATTTGCCTTCTCCAATAGTGAAGCAATGGGTAGTATGTTTGTGTATCTATAGGCTCCACAGTTTTGCTGAATGCACATAAATAATTCAAAGCTAGCCAATATGTCTCAAAATAATCTACTACATTTAATGATTCCTTATCATTCCTTTTCCATTCATCTACTGTTAAAATGAAAGGGAATCCTTCCATTTAAAGCAGGGTCTGACCTAAACTCACTAAGGAAGTGATCATCACCACTTCTTTTATGGAGGAATGGGAAAGACAAATACAAGAAAGTCCCTCTGTTCTTCAGCTGCCTTTTTAATCTCCGCATATTTCCAATGCCTTCACACCTCTAGTGTGCTCACGGTTTGAAATAGTGGGGAGAGGCAAGGGATGAAGCTGTCCTACCAAAGAGTACATAGTAAATCTCCCAAAGAACACAACATACTGCCATGCTGTTTGAAATACACCAAAACCTCTATGTATATCATGGACGATTAAGGCTCAATGCTTTTCACAGTGCTGGCCGTTAACACCAGTAGAAATGCCATGCAAGTCACTAGATAGCTCTCCACACAAACAAAACCTCTGCAAATTTAATACAATATTTGATATATAACTGGAAAGATCCTCCACGCTCTACTCATTTGCTCCTACCTATCAGCAACCAAACCATATACTCTGGCTTATTTGTTCTGCAATGAAACTTGAAACACTGGATCACTTTTTTTTTTTTTTTAAATCCCAGTACTCCTTCCAGAAAGCTACTCTAAAATTCCAGTTACTTGAGATGGAAATTTTCAACTTCCCTCCTAGATTTACACATCGCTACAGTACAACCGTTTGCTTTTTTCTTTTAGCTTGAATGGCCCTGTTCCCTCCCCAAAGCTGAGGGTAACACTGGAATTAGGATATGCCTGCAAGTAAGACCAAACCGGAGGAGAAAGGCAGTAAGTACCCCATGCCTTCTCCTGGTTACATTAGCATAATGGTTTCCTTTATCTACAGAATCATTTGCATATGCAAAAAGCAGGATAACTTTTTCTTAAGCATTGAAGGGACTTAGGAAACCAAGTGCCATTTTCAAGAGACAAGAGTACTTGGCAGTCTAAATCTTGCTGCATGTCAATGGAATTTGGAATGCTGCAATGCCTCATTTGCTTCTGAAAAAACAGGACACAGGTACCCAGATCCCTACATGCTAAAACATTTTGCCGTATTGCTTTGAAAATGCTCGTAGTGCTAATGTAGAGCTAAAATGTGGTAATCTTAGCAAAACTGGCCTCTTTCAAATAAAGTAAATGGTGCCTGCATTCTGTGACAAAGCATAAGGAGCAGGGAGAACAAAAAGCCCAGACTTACCAATCCTAGTCGGGTAAGAGGCAGATGGATAATCACACAGCCCAGAACTCTCCTACTACAACTGCCATAAGAGAATAGAGTCTTACATACTCTTGCTTCACTGCTGTCTGTGTGGAAAAAAAGGAACTGAGGTACATGTGATTTAGTTCCTCACTTTTTCCTCTTAAAACAGAAGTGATCCCACTGGAAAAGTACGTGGTTTTTGAACACAAAGTGACAGCAGATCTAAAAGAGGATGTTAAAAAAAAAATTAATTGAGATGTTTCTGACTGTGGTGCAATGCTGACAAGTTGCTAACTGCCATGATAAGTCATTTAAAAACAACAAACACTGGTAAAGGATCAGAGTGCCTGTACTTCACCAGGCTGTTCAAAATTGAAACTGAATTTCAGAAAAACCACCAAACACTTCCATGTACAGAACTTCAGTTTTGTTCCTTCATCCACCTGACTTACAGAGGCAGTGTTATTTATGTCATTTCCCCTTTTGAAACAAACAGCTAAATTTATAGTTTTGTGCCCTTCTTCTGATGGGGGAGTTGCCAACTTTGTTTCATCAAGATGTTGATGAAAAATCATTTATCTATAAGGTGCAAATACGAGAAGCTGCCGCTTTGAAAGCAGTAGCCATCAGACAGCTGTGGACAGTCTTGTTCATCACTGATCAAAGACACTTTCTCTGGGCTCAAAAATTACCTCCGTCTCAATGGCATGGCAGAGGCGTCCCCATGGTGTTTTTAGCGTGTCCTTCTCAACGGAGGCTGAAGGAGAGCGCACACGCTGAGCCACACCACTCCCCCAGCACTACATCCACTCCACAAACAGTCTGAAGAGTTTTCTGTTGATGCATTTTCCAGATTTCCTTTTTCTCAGAAGGTAAAAATAAAATAATCAGAAGCTGAATCTCATCCAAGTACTAGACAAAAGCTCTTACATAGACACTGTTCAGTGTAATGATAGGAGCGACAGACACATGTAAAATAAAACTAGAGTGTAAAGATAACATTACAGCAACATATTGATTGCAACCCATCATTCAACATGTTTTGGCAGTAAAATAATGATGCGCCTTAGAAATGAACTAAGGTACGGTTTGAAATAACTATGACCACATAGGTCTAACAGAGTCTCTTTAAAATTATTCCTTTTCCCTCCTTACCACCTATGTTTTGCAAAAGACTTCAGTTTTCATGAAGGCAGAATGAAAGCTATTTTTATTCCCACTGAATTTATATAACACTCATCTAATATTTAAAGGCTGTTCAAAATTACTTTATTTTTAATCACCTTCTACGATGAATTTCTGCATGGTAGATGTGGTTGTGACTTCAGCTGAGCACTCCTGCCCCCAGCCTTGGAGGAGATCAAACCTCACAGGAAACAGGGTGGCTCAAATTCCATGTAGTTTTAAACCTTGCCTCCTTCACTGTGCTTATAATTAGCGCCAGCCGCAGCCGTGGGTTTTGTGCAGCAGCTTCAACAAAACAGAAAAGTAACAGAGGGAGAGGAGGCAGAAATTGGGTTGGGAAATTAGTCTTGAGTGATTAAAAACAAGTCACCTTCCATTTCAGTTGTACTCAGGTGTCAAACGCATCAATATTCAAGGAAATTAATAATTTTGATCAATAAGATCTTACCAAAAAAGCCTTTATATTTACAAAAATAAAATCAGAACAAGACAAAACCAAAGTTCTTTCAGAAGCTGAAAACAGACTGCAATTAGAAGAAACAGTCTGCAACACAAGAATGTCTGAGTCCCAAGGCTAAACTTAAAGCAGAATGTATAAAGAAATTTGACTGTATCATTCATACATGGGAAAAATAATACAGCCCTGTGCATTACCATACACAATTATTATATTACATTAACTATAGCAGCATGTAAAGAAAGTCCCTTATTTCAGCCCAGACTATGTCTTTTATCTGCACAGAAACGTGAAATAGAAGTCGACTACATAAACTGGTTTTTGTTGTTTTTTTTTTCCCCAGCATAGCTGTTGCAAGTCTTCTGTTCTCCATTTAAACCTGCAGTACTTTAACAACCCCGACTTCTCGGCGTTTCCAAGGACCTTCTCGCACAACAAGCTCCCCGCTCACACACGCTCCCGCTCTGTAGTGACGCCTCTTCTGACCGATTTCATACAACA